GACGCTCAACCACTGAGCCACACCAGCCAGGCTCCCCCAATATATTTATTAAATTAGAAGAGAAAAAGAGTAACTAGACAGTGCAAAAACCCCACAGACAACTACCTAAACTAAGTGATCAAGGTTAACGTCACAGTAATAAGACACATCAATATCTTATACTGCTGATATGATACACTGAGAAGGGCACATCACTGCTTTGGTATTCTTGCCCAAAATACATAACTTCAATCTCATGAGAAAACATCAAACAACCAAAATTGAGGAACATTTTATAAAGGAACTGATAGTACTGAAAATATCAAGGTCAGAAAGACAAGGAAAGATTGAAGAACTATTTCAGACTGCAGGAGACAAAGACAACTATATGCAATGTGCGATGTTGGATTAGATCGGGGCAAAACAAATAAACACCCCCCATCCCCCGCAAACAAGAGGATGTTAGTGGAGAAACAAGTGAAATCCAATTTGTAGTTTAGTTTAGTATTGTACCAATTCCCTAACTGCTAACTGTACCAATTAGTATCTTACCAGTTACTAGTTTTTAAAAAATCCTCACCCAAAGACATGCTTTCATTGATGTTAGAGAAGAAGGGGGTGGGGAGGGGGAAGGGAGGGGGAAGGGAGGAGAAGGGGGACAGGGGAAGAAGAAGAAGAGGAAGAAAGAGAGATGTGCCCTGACTAGGAATCAAACCTGCACAGAATGATGCTCCAACCAATTGAACCACACTGGCCAGGGTACCAGTTCTTAGTTTTGATTACTGTACTGTGGTTATCTACAACACAAACATTAGTGAAAACTAAGTGAAGAGTATATACAAATCGCCCTGGCCGGTTTGGTTCAGTGATTAGAGTGTCAGCCTATGGACCAAATAACTTCGGGTTCGGTTCTGGTCAGGGGCACGTGCCTCAGTTGTGGTTCAGTCCCCAGCTCTGATGGGGGTCATGTGGGAGGCAGTCGATTGATGTGTCTCTCTCGCATCGAGGTTTCTCTGTTTCTCTCTCTCTCCCTCCCACTCTGTCTAAAGATAAATAGAAAAAAAAATATCCTCAGTTGAGGATTTAAAAGAGTAGCCCTGGCCAGTTTGCTCAGTGGTTAGAGCATCAGCCTGCGGTCCGGAGAGACCCGGGTTTGGTTCCCGCTGGGGGCGTGTGCCTCGGTTGCAGTTTGTCTCTGGCCCTGGTTGGTCGTGTGGGTGGCAGCCACTTGATGTTTCCCTTTCACATCGATGTTTCTCTCTCTCTCTCTCTCTGTTCCTCTCTCTCCCTCCCACTCTACCTGGGCAAGAAAGTAGAGGAGTGTCCTCGGGTGAGGATTAAAACAAAAAAAAAGAGTATATACAAATTCTCTCTACTATTTTGGCAATTTTTCTGTAAGTGTAAAATCATTTCAAAATAGAGAGTTAAAAATAATATGGATACTCACCCTTTATCTGTTATTCATATGAAAAGGTTTTCCTCTTCCTGCACTGTGGTTGACTAGATGCATCTCTAAGCTGGAGCCTTCGCTGCGCCTTCCAAAGGCCATTCCTTCTATCGCTCTGTTAGGTTGGTGGCTCTGGATGGTGAAGTAGGCGTGAGGATTAGTGAATCCCACGGTCAGTAGTGACTCCACTACACCCCCTTTGTTAAAAGTGAGTCACTTGGGCTGAAGGGGATGTTATGTGCTATACCGTGTTGGTGGATCAAACCATGGCCTGCTGAGGCCATGCGGGCAGGAGAGGTAGATGGAAAGGCAGACCTAGACCCATAATATGTATTGTGTTGATTTCAGTCAAGATAGATTTCTCCCCTTCCTGAGTGGAATGTAGTAAACTTGTTACCAGGTGACTTGACTGGCTGTCTCCCTGAAGAATGGTATCCTGTCAGGGATTCAGTATTGCAGTAGGGTAGACCCACAGCAGTTGGCAGTAGCTAGATCAGCCTTAGTGAGTGGATGCCCATGCTGGTGGGCCCATTCTTAGCCTCTATCCCTACTACCATTATGCTAGCATTGGGGTGGTTATTGACAGAGCTTGGCCAATGACAACTGGCTGAATTTTGCTTTCTACTTTATTTAGTCTCTTGCATGGTAGATGTTCTCTGGTGGGCGTTAACAGGTGATATAAAGATCTCACTTTGTCCCAGCTGGTGTGGCTCAGTGGTTGAGCATCCACCCATGGACTGAAAGGTCACCGGTTTGATTCCTGGTCAGGGTGTATGCCTGGGTTTTGGGCTCGATCCCCAGTAGGGGGTGTGTGGGAGGCAGCCAACTGATGTTTTGTTCTCTCTCTCTCCCCCTTTGTCTCTCTCTAAAAAACAATTTTTAAAAAAAGATCTTACTTTGTACCTATCTACTCCTATAGTTCCAACTACATGCCTCTTCCCAAACCTCTTTGACCCTAATTTTCTAATCTTTCCCTTCATAGGCCTCTGAACAACCAGCCAAGCCATTCATCACTATCCATGGGCCCACATATATTTTTCTATTGGGCTACTTTTCTTTCTTTTCCAAAAATATGTTTTAATTGATTTTATAGAGAGAAGAAGGGAGAGGGAGAGAGAGAGAAACATCCATTAGCTGCCTCTTGCATGCCTCTTACTGGGGATTGAGCCCACAAACTGGGCATGTGCCCTGACGGAATAGAAACCGGCAACCTCTAGGTGCATGGGGCGATGCTCAATCTACTGAGCCACACTGGCCAGGCTGGGCCACTTTTCTTTCTAAAAAAGGGGATGACCAGGTGCATGACCTGGAGCGCTGCCAACTGGGAGGATTTCAAAGGTTACCCCTCAGTGGGGCTGTAGTGCAACACCAGTCCACTTTCAGCTTACATCCTCATCTTGAGCCAACCCATTCACAAATCAAGCTTGAACTTTCCCCTCTCTATTAGCTGGTCATAAGAGTTCCTCCACATGGCCATAGGTAGGAGCTGAGAGAGGAGTGTTGGCCAAGCCATGGTGGATGACATGGGGGTCTGTGCTGCCTACTCATGCAGCTTACTTTGCCCTCTGGCCCTGCCTGGGCCCCATTTTGTTTGTTCCGTTTTTATCTATAATAGGTTGTTTTGGACCTGCTTGACTTTGACTTGGTAGGTCTGATAGAATGCAGGTCATGATGGTCAGCTTTGACCACATTGTCACTTGATGTCTTGGGCTCACATTCACCATCTAAACCAGGACCTCCTAGTAGGCCAGGGGCAGTTTTTTTGTTGTTTGTTCTGTTTTTCTTTGTTTGCTTGTTTAGTTAATCCTCACCTAAGGAGATTTCTCCATTGATTTTTAGATAGAGTGGGAGGGAGGGTGGGAAAGAAAGAGAGAGAAACATAGATGTGAGAGAGACACATTGATTGGTTGCCTCCCACACAACCCCACAGCTGGGGATCAAGCCTGCAACCCAGGTACGTGACCGAGAATGGAACCTGCAACTGCTGGGTCCCCAGGCCGACACTCCAACTGCTGAGCCAAACCGCCCGGGGCTAGGGGCAGTTTTTTAAATAGTGTATAACATCTCTCTGTTGCAGATGTCGTGGCTCTGCTCCAGAACCTCAGGGATCTACACTGTGGTTCTTTCAGGGTTGGCCACACTCTACCTAGCATCTCTTCCCTAACCATACATAGCTCTAATACCATTATCTACATGTGGCTAACGGCTACCAAATCTGGAAGCACAGATATGCGGGACAGGGCCACATCTAGATCTAACAGTTTATAAGAAACACAAGCTTAGCCCTGGCTGGTTTGGCTCAATGATTAGAGTATTGGCCCATGGACCAAAGGGTCGTGGGTTTGATTCCTGGTCAAGGGCACGTACCTTAGTTGCAAGTTCCCTATCCCTGGTTTTCTCTCTCCCCCCACCCCCACCCCTCTCCCTTCTTCCCTTCCACTCTATCTAAAAAGAAAAAAGAAAAAATATCTTCGGGTGAGGATTAAAAAAAGAAAAAGGAAACACAAGCTTAGAGAAATCTATGAAACAATACCACAAGGATGCCATCATCCAAACACGGAATGTGGAAAATTCTGCAGAACAAGTGACCCAGTTTCTTTAACAAGTAATTGGCATGGGAAAAAAATGACAAGAAGAAAACTATTGCAGATTGAAAGAGATTTATGAGGCACATTAAACAAATGCATTTTGTGGACTTGCACTGGATCGTGATTTGAACTGAACTATTAAAGAAGCGTTTTTTGAGATGAGCCAGTTAAGCAACACATTGAGAGTGGAAATGTGAACTCATTCAAATGTGGTTGGGGAGAAGGGGTCTCAGTAGATGTTTATATTCCTGATTTGATTGGGAAGAAAAACAATGCTAGGAATAGCTTTATCTCATAAGGTGAGCAACATGCTCCTTCCAATTTGCTGTGGGAGGAAAAGTGAGCTTCAGATACCTCGAAGAGCAGAAGCCACACCGCTCCATGCTGGTCCTGGGATCTGCCCAGAGGGAGGACGGAGAGGAAAGGGATGCAACAGTTTTCCTTCACTTACCTGGTGAACTGCTGCTCATCCTTCACTCTCCTCTTCCAGGAAGGCTTCTTGGCTTGTCTCACTGCCCTCCTCCATTTCTCCTCTGCACATTTCCACCTCACAGCCCCAATTTCGCGTACTCTGGACACTGGAGCTGAGACTTGCAAGGTGAGAAAGACAAGGGTATGGCCAAGGCCCTGAGCCTGGCTGGAGTTGAGGGTATACAGGAAGGGAAAATGAAGCTGGAGCTCGGATGCCAAAGAGGAGATTGGAAGGAAGTGGAGTAGATGGATAGGTAAGCAGGAACTGGCAGGACCTTTAAGGCCATGACAAGGAGTCTGCCTTTGTTTGAAGAACCACAGGAAGCCCTGCTATTCTGTTTCCCTTTGTGTTAGGCAAGCCTCACCTCTCCTTTAGAAGTACTGATCCTGGCAGACATACCTGACTCAGCAAGGTCTGGCAGGGCCTCCTTAAAAAGTGCCACCTTAAGCAGGCTCCACCCTGAGCACAGCCAATGGGCTGGTGCGGCTAACCAGCTTAAGTGCCCACACCTCTCTAGCGGTTACCCAGCTATGGCCAGTCTACTCCGGGCTACAGCAACCTGGGGGCTGTTCCCCTGGAGGGGCTACTGCTCTAGGCAGGTAGGCAGGGGAAGCCCCCTGGAGGGTGGGCTCCCCACCCACACCAAGTTCCCACCAGGTTCTGTACTGCCCCAGCTCCCTGTGACCTTGAGCAGAGGATCAATGGGCTCACCCCGTGTCAAGCGTAGGTGTTGAGTGAGATGGCCAAGATTCTCACAGCTGTCATGAGTGAGACTCAGGGGTGCCCAACGACAGGTGTGTGGGCTGTGCCTGAATGTACACACACCTTTTGAAAGAGTGCCTGCAAGGCAAAGACTTGGGTTCTGGGAGGCAAGGACTTGGTTTTAGGCCAGGTTTTATCCTTTTTTTTTTATTTTTATCCTCACCCGAGGACATTTTTTGATATTTTGTTCCGATAGAGTGGGACGGAGGGAGGGAGAGAGAGAGTGAGAGAGAAACATCGACGTGAAAGCGACACATCGAGTGGTTGACACCCACACGACCCAACCAGGGCCGGGGACAAACTGCAACCAAGGTACGTGCCCTTAGCGGGAACTGAACCCGGGTCTCTCCGGACCGCAGGCCGATGCACTAACCGCTGAGCCAAACCGGCCAGGGCCAGGTTCTGTCCTTGACTAGCTGGCCTCTATTCCCCATCTGTAAAATGGGAAGAAGGGCTCCAAGAACCCTACAAGCCTCCAGGCAAGGTCAAGGGGGGGTGGTGGGGGCACCATAGTTGGTGGGCAATGGAGCTTTTACTTCCTGTCCTTCCTTTTTCATACTGTTTCTGGTGTGCTTAGAGCAGCCTGGCTGGTCTTAGAGAAGGGACAGAGATGAGCGACCTTTCCAAGTCATTAAGGCAGGGCTGGATACGTTATGGAACCCTGCTGATGCCCCCTTTCGTAGAGCGAATCTAGTCTTATTTTCATCCAGGGGCATTTTTTTCGGAAGTGAAACACTGACCCCTGTGGTTCTGTTTGGAAAGGGCATACCTGCAGAGTATATCTGCTTTTGGTGGGCCCACTGGCAAGGCCTGGGTCTTGGAGGTGGTGTCAGTGGGGGGTGGGGCAGAGGAGGCCTGAGATGCTGGCAGCCCCACCCCTCCCCCTCCTGCCACAGGGGCAGGCTTGTGGCCCCAGGTGTCTGTGAGTGGCCCTGGCAACATGTTTCTTCCCTGCAGGGAAAACTCAGCAAGGACTTTGTGGAGGCTCTGAAGGCGGTTGTGGGGAACCCCCATGTGTCTACTGCTGCTGCAGTCCTACAACAACACGGGCACGATGAGTCCATACACAGGTGTGGCGGGTCCCCTCCTCTGTCCCAGCCCCTGGCCAGGAGTGAGGGTTCTGGGCTGGCTCCTCTCCCACTCATCTGTTTTGGGATACTCTGGCATTCTCTCCACCACACCCCAGTCCCACGGTGGTGCCCCAGGCCCTGTAATACCTTAGGGATCCTTGAAACGTGACAGGACCAGAGTCCCATGCCCCTCTAAACTGCGGAGGGTCTGGTTCCAGGTGCCAACCTCCGGACGCTGTGGTGTGGCCCCAGAATGTGGAGCAGGTCAGCCGGCTGGCAGCTCTGTGCTACAACCAAGGCGTGCCCATCATCCCCTTTGGAACAGGCACTGGGCTTGAGGGTGGAGTCTGTGCTGTGCAGGTAAGGTGGCCCCTTCCCTGGCCAGGCTCTGGCCCCACCACACTTGTCACATTGGTGACATCCCCACCACCACACAGCGTGGTCGTTCAGGTCCAATCCTCCTTACCTGCCATTCTGAGGATCTGCTCTGGCTGCTGGGAGGTCAGCTTCAAAGTAGGGTCCTGGGGGTTGTAGCCTGGCAGAAACACTAGGTGAGCCGGCCCCTTGGCACCCCTCCTGCCAGGGCGGTGTCTGCATCAATCTGACCCACATGGACCGAATCCTGGAGCTGAATGCAGAAGACTTCTCTGTGGTGGTGGAGCCCGGTGTCACACGCAAAGCGCTCAACACCTACCTGCGGGCCAGTGGCCTCTGGTTTCCTGTGGGTAGGCTGGGACCCTGAGGGTTCCCTGGAGGAAGGGCTCTTTCTGGGGCTTCTAGGGACCCCTCTACACCTGGGCGCCTGCCCCAGGCTGCCTTCTGCTTGCCCTCTGCTCTCCAGACCCAGGTGCAGATGCCTCTCTGTGTGGCATGGCAGCTACTGGGGCCTCAGGCACCAATGCTGTGCGCTATGGCACTGTTCGAGACAATGTGCTAAACCTGGAGGTGGTGCTGCCCGGCGGGGAGCTGCTTCACACCGCAGGCCAGGGCCGTCATTTCCGGTGAGTACTCTACCCACAGAGATTGGCACCTCTTCCATAGGTGGCCAGGCTTCTGAAAATGTCACGTGGGACAAAGCTGAGTGTCCTGGGGTTTGTTCAGATTCTCGCATGAGGCTGACATGGCCTGTGCCAGGGAACATCTGCCTTGATGGCAGCCTGAGCAGAGGGGCAGCCCAGAACTTGGGCTCAGCACCATACTTGGCAGGGGTCTGGGGGACAGTGCCCCAGCTCCTAGCTCCAGATGTCTGACCAGAAATCCACTGTTACATGGCTGGGCACTCACCTACATTGTGTGTCTCTGGGGTCCAGGAAGAGCGCAGCTGGCTACAACCTCACCGGGCTCTTTGTGGGCTCTGAAGGGACACTGGGGCTCATCACAGCCGCCACCTTGCGCCTGCACCCTGTACCTGAGGCCACGGTGGCTGCCACCTGTGCATTCCCCAGTGTCCAGGCGGCCGTGGATACCACCGTTAACATCCTCCAGGCTGCAGTGCCTGTGGCCCGCATTGGTGAGCTAGGAACTGGGCAGTCCAGGTGTGCTCCTCTGGAGAGACCCCCTTTGAAGACCAGCTCTCACCTCACCTGTCCTCTCCTGGCCCAGAGTTCCTGGATGAGGTCATGATAGACGCCTGCAACAGGCACAGCAACCTGAACTGCACTGTGGCACCCACGCTCTTCCTCGAGTTCCATGGCTCTAAGCAGGCACTGGCAGAGCAGCTGCAGCGGGCAGGTGTGCTGGGGTGCTTGGGGCAGGGGGTTGCCCAGAGTAGGGCCTGGTGTCAACTCCCCTGCCCCTTGCAGAGGAGATCACCCAGTACAATGGAGCCCTCAACTTCTCCTGGGCCAAGGAGGCGGAAGAGCGCAACCAGCTCTGGGCAGCCCGGCACAATGCCTGGTACGCAGCCCTGGCCCTGCGGCCAGGCTGCAAGGTGAGCTGGGCTGGGGGAACGTGGGGCCCATGGCTCAGCCCATGGACCCTTTGCTCAGCCCACTCACCTGGTGTCCAGAGCCATAGGCTGAGGCCCACAGCAAGCAGGGCTGCCCCCACCTAGTTGTTTCTCATTATCTAGAGGGAAAGCAGAGTAGTCTGCCAAACCCTCAGGAGGGAGCTTCTGCATTGAGCCAGGCCATGGGCACAGGGAAGGGGGTACATGGGGGCCGGGCAGTGACACCAGCGAGGGTGGGGAGCAAGGCAAAAGCTGCAGAAGCCTATGTTGCCTGGATTACAGGCCCCAGCCACCATCTTGTGCAGGGGAAACTGAGGCCTAGAGAAGAGCAGGCAAGTTTGTGTGTGCAAGGCCAAGCCCCCTCAGACCTGGACTAGTGACCCCTTACCTCTGGGCAGGCCAGGGGAAGGGGAGAACCTCACAAGCCTGCCCCCTGTCCCAGGGCTATGCCACTGATGTTTGTGTACCCATCTCCCGGCTGCCAGAGATCCTGGTGCAGACCAAGGAGGACCTGCAGGCCTCGGGGCTCACAGGTTCTGCCTGCCCACTGCTGGAATAGGGGAGGAGAGGGTGGAAGCTGAGCTGGGGGCAGTAGCTTGGTCCTCTGGGCTCCTAGGAACCATGGTTGGACATGTGGGCGACGGCAATTTCCACTGCGTCCTGGTGGTAGACCCGGAGGATGCTGAGGAGCTCCGCAGGGCCGAGGCCTTTGCATACCAGCTGGGCAGGTAAGAGCAAAGCCTGGGGGAGACAAGGGAGTGGGAGGAGCCCCCCACTGATGGTCTCTTCACTGCTTCCCAGGCGGGCACTGGCGCTCCACGGGACATGCACTGGGGAACATGGCATTGGGCTGGGCAAGCGGAAGCTGCTGCAGGAGGAGGTGGGTGCCGTGGGCATAGAGATCATGAGGCAGCTCAAGGCCACACTGGATCCCCGAGGCCTCATGAACCCAAGCAAGGTGCTATGAGGGGCTCCGAGCACTGGGTCCCCAAGCCCCAAGACAATGGAACATCCCGTCTGGACTCTTTCTTCATGCCACAGAACAGCCCTGTCCATGACTCTTATCTGGAGCCCAAGGCCAGAGGGGAGAAGCCTGAAGGCCTGGCTCCTTCGGGCCTCCTGCTGTCTCGGGGAGCCTTTGGTCCAGTAAACAGCTCAGGATCATTCCTGGTGAAGGTGCTTCTTCTTTGCTCTCTTACACATCCTGTCCTGGCTGGGAGAGGCAGTGTGGGTCACCCCAAAGGCTAAGCTCACTCCCCTCCATCCATGCCTCTCCACTGCTGGGAGCCTGGGACAAAGCCCGAGGAACTCAGCACCCTTATCCCTATTCCATCTGCCTGGTGACAGGAACATTCCTTTCTTGATGTGGGAAGGGACCTTGATAGTTCTTCTTGGTGCCCCACCCCCAGAGAAACCTGAATGCCATTTGCAGCTGCCTGGAGATGAGCAGGCAGTAGCTGTGAATGGCCTCCTGCTGCCCACCACCCCCAGGTCACTTGGCCAGTGACACCCCCGGCCTTCGTTCCAGACCTGTCCTCTGACTTACTGCAGCTTGGGGAGGGATGGTGCTCAGGCTACAGATGGTCACTTTCAGGAACCCAGGTCCTTGTCCCAAATGCTCTGCTGGTGGAATCCCAGGGCCTGAAGACTTGCCCAAGGCGGACATCACTTATGACAGACTCCCCCACTGAGCTCCAACTGTGCCTTAGAACATTCTGAACATGTCCTTTAAGCAGCTGCTACCAATCCCTGGATATGGAAGTGAAATCACTCCCCTGTACCATGCCTCTCCAAGTATGATTTGTTATACTCTCAGCTCTTTTGCCCTCAAAGTTGGAATCTGTCTAGCAGGGGCCCTGGGATTCCAGGCCAGAGCTAATGTCTCGGTTACAGTTGTTCCCCCTAAACCCACGAGAGGGCACCTGCCACCATAAACACACAACAGCATCTGCTGGGCCAGTGGTGCCCAGCTTTCCCTTCTGTCAGGGCCTACAGCCCCTCACTTCTGAGGGTTGGGGAGGGGGCTCATGTCCTGAAAGCCAATTTCTACTCTCCACCCACCCCTTGAAGGTCCCAGGAGCCCATTGCATGGGCCCAACTCCCTCATCCCCTGGCTCCTTAGGAAACAGGCTTGGCCAGCCCCGCAGGGACACCCTCCTTCTGGCCTCACTCTCTCCCAAGCCAACTCTTGAGTTTCTTCCCTGCCTCTACCCCTCAATCTCTCTCACCTCTTCCCGTCAGCTGTTCAGGCCCTGGGCAGAGGCAGCCCTCTGTGACTCCTCAGTCTACTTGGTTTCAGAAACCCTTCCTCTGTGTTAATACTGGGTGAAGCCTGGAGTTTGTTCCTCTGTAACTTTTCCATCCCCCTGCTGCCCTGGATGGGAGCAGTAGCTGTGCCAAGGGGTGGTGTGGGGCCAGTCTCATTGGCTCCCACCCCAAACCACCCCATACAGGTCAGCCTCCTGTGTTCCATGGAGACACAGCTCACTAGACCCCACCTCCCAGGTTTCGTCCACTGTCTGGCAACTAGCAGGTGCTCAGCAAATGGCCATTTCCCCACAGTTTATTAGGAAAAATTCCAAATATACAGAAGAGTTGAAAGAACAAGTACACTGTTCAGTGACAGCAGCCACTGAAGATTCAACAATGAATGTTGTGTCTTATTTTGGAGAAACCCATGTGAAATTTACATATTCCTTGACATCATTCACCTACATAATTCACCATATGTTTCCTAAGAATAAGGACATTCTCCTAAAACCTCAACAATATTGAAAAGCCACTAGATGATTTGATACATGTACTCCTGCCCAGGAAGCCCCCAGAAAGTGGGTAGAACCTACCTCCCAGCTCCTCCCTATCCCCTCCCCTCTGAAAACTGTCTGGATGGAAGACAGATACCAGTTCTTACCTGGGAAGCCCAGACACCCCTGTCCCACACCCACCCACGAGCTGGCAATCTGGGTCTGAGTTTGGAGGCAGGGTAGTCAGCAGAGGGCTGCAGTGTGCCAGGTGGGAGTGGAAGTCACTTTGGGTGAGAGAGGGGGTTAGCACCAGCCCTGCCTCACCTGATTCATGACCACTCAGCTCACCCAGGATGCTGCCAAGGCCTCCAGGCCTAAGCAACTGAGGTGGGCATACAGCCCTCTGCTTGCAGGCCCAGGGGTCAGGCAAGGAGATCTCCTTCAGGCCAGCTGTGCTGGAGGAATTAAACATAGAACAGGGAGGCGGTTGCCAGGCAGAAGCAGGCGGCGCTGTGAACAGAACAAGGCTCTCCGCGGTGACGCAGCTACCAGAGGGCCTGCTGTGCATGTGCCAGGGCTTCTGGGCAGACTCTTGGTGACCTTTCAGTTGCATGACTTTGTCCCCACTTCACATGCAAGGAATCTGAAGTTTAGATGAATTAAGTCATTTCCCCAAGATCATTCTGCCAAGAAGTAGAAGAGCCACATGTAGATAGTTTCGAGTCCACGTTCTGGCCACCACGGTGATCACTGGTCCTGGGTCTCTGCTTCAGGAGGGTCTGGCTCCAATGCCTAGGCTCAGACACACATACTCTTCTTTAGTATATCTCTGAACGTACTGACTGAGTGTGCCTGTACCTCAGCTCACATTTGCCCATGGGCCTGCAATGCCCTTGCAGAGTAGGAGCTCAGGAACTGTCTGATGGAAGACAGCTGCAGAACCAGGGCCTGGTGGGGTTAGGGCCCAGAGGGCAACAGCACACAGAGGCCTGAAAGGGCAGCGGTGTGGAGTGGTCTCCCTTCAGAGCTGCCCTTCACAGGTTCTGGATACTGCTCTGGGAGCCTGTCTGGCATGGGGACTAAGGCTGGGTGTGCAGTGCTACCCACTGCCCTGAGTTTCCCGCCCAGCCTGAGCTGTACCTACTCTTGTGTGCCCCGAGTGGTTCTGAGCTGGCTTAGCCCCAAAACAGGGCCTGTCTCTGGGCCTCCATGAAACATGCCCATGAGTCAGCACTGAGACGGACTGATAGGAGGGAAGGATGAAGGCAGGCGGGGAGGCGGGGCAATGGGCCAACACCTGGAAGAACCCACATCCTTGCAGCCTCCAGTGGCTTTGAGATCTCTGCACCTGCAGATCTTGCAAAAGAGTTTTGTCACAACCACTCCACAGGTGATGGCAGACTGATTCTATGATACCTGAGGGTTAGTAAACCTGTGGGACTGGGTTCTGACCTGCCACATTCCCTCTATCCAGGCACGACTGCTCTGAGAACCCCATCCCACTTGCAGTCCCACGTAGTACCCTGAAGGAAGGCTAAGGAGGTGGGGGTGGGGGAGTGGGAGACAGGGTGCACAACCCCCATTTTCTGATTGCGTAACAGCACCATTAAAATAAAGTCACACAATGCATCTTTTATTAGACATTATTTTAATACCATATCAAAACATCTTGACTAATGAAGAAAGCTTTTCCCCCAACTTCAAACAATTTTTAAAACATTTTATAAGGGTTTTTTTTTTTTTTTTGTATTTTAATATATAAATACAGAAACCTATCTTGCATGGGCTGATGTCACATGTGAACATCAATGGCTAAAATGTTCTCAGAGTGCCTGAAAACGGGTAACTGTACATGTTCCTTTAACAGGTCTTTTGTTTGTTTAAGTTTTCTGGGAAAAAATCCACAAGGGTCTAAGGAAAATGTTCAGGCATTTTTGCAGGACACTTGTGATTGTTAAATCCTCTGAACTGACCAGAACCAGGTGGGATGGAGGGAAGAGAATCAGGAATGGAGGGGGGAAAGGTCTTCCATGGGTTTAAAAAAATTTTTTTGGCAATGAAGTCAAGATCTCAGGGTCCCAAGGGGAAGAAAAGTGCAAAACCAAGCCAAAAAAGTGGACAAAGGAAACCAAGGCAGAGCGGCTGGTGATGGAGGGGGCCGAACCGACGGGCGCTGGGCACAGGACCGTGCGAGCGGGCTCCCAGGCCATCAGAATGCGAACCTGGCTCTGTTCATTTCTGTCACTGAGTGGGTTCTAGCTGGGCAGCAGACAGGAATCTGTAAACATCACGGGCGAAAACACCAGTCGACACTAGACTTTTTTTTTTATGATTTTTTTTTTTTTTTTTTTGTAAACACTTTTAGAGACAGACCCACAATGCCTTTCAAAGGTGAAAAAGAAAATGCCCTTTCCCTCCTGGGATGAGGGGTGAGGGGGAGGAGGGCAGTCGATTCTTTCTTCTCTCAAACTCGTGGCTCATCCAATTTGGTGTCCTCAGGGAGAAAGGGAGAACCATTCTCTGAAGTCAGTGCGGTAGGGGTGCCCTGTTCCCACTGGTGTACCCAGCTCAGCTCTGCCCCAGTGTCCGAAGCCTCCTCTCAGGAACAGGGCTGGCTGTCCCTGTGTGGACCACAATACATAAGTCATTCTCCCGTCGGGCCGTAGCCAGCCGCGTGTATCTGGCTGAGGCCGGGCTGGGTGCCTGTGGTTCCAATCTGGGCCCAGAGAAGGCGAACGCCAGGCCGGGAATTTGGACTTGGACTCCAGCGCCAGGCTCCACTCCCTCTGCCTCACTCTCACTGTTTCTTCTCCCCATGTCCTCAGTTTTTGAGGTGAATGTAAAAAGAGAAAATGTCCCTGATTTGTGTGCCATCATCAGCTGTTCTGGAAGTTTACTTGGAATAAATAAAACAAACCTAACAAAGAACAAAAGAGAAAAAAAAGAGGGAGAGAGAGAGAGAGAAAAGAGGCCCCAAAACCTGTGGATATAAGAGGAGGTGGAGTCAGAGTTTCAGTTTCCCAGGAAAAAGAAAGTGCCAGCCCAGAACTCGGAAGGGACAGGTAAGATGGGGGACAGGAGAGGATGGTCAGCAGTAAGCAGGGTGCCCTGGGAAAGAAATGGAGAGGTCAGACCGGAAGTTTCCAGACGGAGACACGTGTGCACATTTTGTGGGGGGGGGAAGAGAGTTGACTGGCCTGCTGTGGAACCAGGGACCTGTGCTGAGGGGTGGGTGGGCTAAGCCTGGCCTGGAGGTCTCAGATCCGTTTGGGGGAGGCAGCCTGAGGCGGGAAGAACCAGCAGTGGAACGATGGTTGATCAGTACCACAGGGGACAACGCATGGCCCCACAGACTATGTTGTTCAGAAAGTGTGATGTCTACATAGGGACAAGGAGTGAGGACTTGCCCTAGTTGCTCAGCAAGCACAAGGCAGGTACAAGCCCAAGGTCCCGAGTTCATGTGGCTTCTCCCTCCTGGCACATTCCAAAAGGCTCTTCCTGAACCTTCTTAAGGGAGATTTCACCTTAAACGTCTGGAATAAATTGGTCTTTCCCCCAAAGAATCAACTGTATTGAGCAGGTTTCTTTCCATAATCATGCAAGATTGCATCTCTTAGCCTTCCCAGAATCACACCCTACCACAGAACTGCTAACTGAAAAGGTGTTCTCCTTGCCCCCTGCTTCCCTCCTAGGGGTGTGTAAAGGCAACTCAGCCCCCACCCTCAGGCCCCAGAGTGACCTGATCCCAAGCCTTGAGCCCAGAGCACCTGAAACTACCGGCTCACCTTTGAGAAGAGTCAGCAAGCGAGCCCAGCAGGGTCAGTCCGCAGGGTGTTCTGGACAAGATCTGTTCACTTCAAACCACGAGTCTATGCAGCTGAGGTGGGAAGCAGCAAGGGGAGACACATTGTTGCTGACCAGGATGCTCTTTAGGGGGCTTGCTCCCGGGGTCAGGTTTCTGAGCAGGGGTTTTCTAACTCTTGCCAGGGGAAAACAAGTGTATCCCCAGATACCCACTCTCTGAAGCAAGAAGGCAGAACACCAAGATTGATCTTGGCTCAGCCTGGGCAGCCAACCTGGCATGGTGGGTACAGGACTGGGTGGATCTGGACGCTGGAAGGGTGGAGTATGGCCTTGAAAAGGATCAAGACCTTACCTGCACAGAGCCCAGGGGGATGGCAACAGATACTAGTGAGGACAGCCAGAGTGCAGGGCAGCTGGTCAGCTATCCCTAAGGCTTGAAGGGCAGGAAGTGGGAACCAAGACTCGCTCGCATACCTCTGAGCTCTGGGGACCTGAGAGAGCCCTCTCCTGGGTCAAAGAAGCAGCTTCAGTGCTCCCTCCCCACGGGGAGACTTCTTAGAACACCCCTAAAATACCTAGTTCGGTTGGCTATGGTTTCAGAGAAGGACAGCGCTCTGGCTTAGTGACACTGCTAAGGAGAGCCAGACAGAAGGCTGACAGTGAAACCCTGGTCTCCAGCGTTTACAGAAAGGGCTGTCTGAATCAGAGGGAACAGAGATTGCCTCAAGACAGCTTTCTGATTTGTAAACCAACATCTGGGTATTTTCAAAGACAGGATCCAGACAGGTAATTTGCATAATTCTCCTCAGAGCCAAAGATTCCCTTCTTCTGGTTCTGTTTGGTGCGTGGCCAGGGATCTGGAGCACTCTGTACTGGGCCTGGACCAAGACCCCCTCCTCCAGGCCAACCTTGAGCCTCCCCTGCATCAGCCGCATCTGTGTGCCAGGAACTACGACTGCCTTGTGGCCAGTGGCCCTGTGAGTCAGGCTTAGGAAAAGCCCATGTGTCAGAAAGAAGCTCTGAGGCTCGAGGAGCCAAGAGCAGGTGGCAGCCACAGGCAGCACAGAACGTCCTCCCGTCTTGGATAGGGAGGTGTCTTCTTTCCAACTGGAAACAAGAACAAGGCTCTTGCTGGAGTCAGAGGACAAATCTCAGCCCTGCTAATTATAGCAGCGTTCAGTGCCAGGTAGTGGCCATTCCTGCCTTCTGGCCCTCTGGGTAAAAGGGGTGGATGCAGGGGCAGCAAGCACACCCCTCCTTGATGTCTTTCTTGCACTGATGAGGGGTCTCACCTCGTGGAGCAGAGAGGCCCATGGAAGAAAAGAAGGCTTGGGGAGACGAATGAAAAATCAACCTTCCAAAGATGGGAATCTTTGGCTCTGTGGGATCCTAAGCATCTCTAACCTGTGGAGCTCCACAGGTCTCCCCATCACCCCCACCATTCAGGCAGGCCATCAACCCAGAGCAGAATCTCTGGCAATTTGGTTTGGCCCTATACTATGCTGGCTTCTGCCTCAACCCCACTAACTCCCCGCAGTGTGTGAGAGGGGGAGGGAGCTGTCCTGCAACCAGAAACAGAATGATGAGTGTTGCCCTTCTCTCCCCACAAACAGCAAAGGAAGGAGCCCCCTGGGATCTGGCTAGGTCGGCCCTGCTGTCCTCTCATACCTTTTGTGATAAATGCACAGGCAGGGCAGCCTGGCTATCGTGTCCCCCTGAAGCAGCTCCTCCAGGCAGATCACACACTCGCCCGCGTCTTTAGTCAGCACGTCATCTGCAGAGGAAGATGGGAGGATAGAAGAGGGTCAGTGACCAGCAGACAGGTGGCACAAAGCAGGCATGGGTCTAAAACTGGTTGGGACTGCTTGGGTACAAGGCACTGTGGGGGACCCAGAAGCCCAAGGCGGATCTGGACCTGAAGGCCCTCACTGCAGAGATAAACATGCAGATCACACATTAATTATGTGAGGATGAAATGGGTTTAATCACCAATAAGTGGCCCAGGGTTAGGGGTAGGGTTTGAGGGCCTGGAGAGGGATAGATGTGTAGCAGAGGCAGCATGAGGTAAACGGTTTCCCTGAACAGACTTTTCCCCTAAACATACACAAAGATTAAGTGCACTGATTTCTGGTTTTAAAATATGGTGATGACTAGCCCTGGCTGGTTTGGCGCAGCGGTTAGAGCATCGACCTGCAGTCCAGAGAGACCCGGGTTCGGTTCCCATGGGTGGCAACCACTCGATGTATCCCTTTCACATCAATGTTTCTCTCTCTCTCTCTCCCTCTCCCACTCTATCTGAACAAAAAATGGAAAAGTGTCCTCAGGTGAGGATAAAAAAAATATATATATATGTATGGTGATGACTAGAGAAGTATAGTAATACAAGGCAAGAAAGAATGGAAGAAGCGGGTACTTTCACAAATATTTGTACATGTACATCCATAGCAGCACTATTCACCAGAACCAAAAGGTGGAAACAAATATCCACCCACCGACTAATGAATAGATAAACAAAACGTGATATATCCAGGCAATGGACTATTACTCAGCCTGAAAAGGAATGGAGAACCAAGGCATGCTACAGTGTGGATGAACTGGAAAAATATTATGCCAAGTGAAAGAAGCCAGACACAAAAGGCCACCTAGTATATGATTCTATTACATGAAATGTCCAGAATAGGCAAATTTATAGAGACAAAAAGTAGATCAGGGGCCAAGGGCAGAAGGGAATGGGGAGTGAGTATTTAATGATAAAGGTTTTTCTTTTTTCCTTTTTGTGGTAAGAACATTTAACAGGAGATCTGCCTTCTTAACAAAATTTAAGTGTACAGCAGTCTTAACTACAGGCACAATGTTGGACATCTCTAGAACTTGCTCATCTTGCATAACTGAAACTTTATACTTGTTGAGTAGCAACCTCCATTTCCCTCTCTCTTCAACCTCTGGGAACCGTCATTCCATTCGTTCCCTGGTTCTATGAGGTTGACTATCTTAAATACCACATATAAGTAGAATCATGCGAGGGGTTTTCTTTTGGGGTGAAATGTTTGTAACTAGATAGACATGGTGATTGTATGACACTGTGAATGTTCTAAATGCCACTAAATTGTAAAATTCAATTTTTCGAAAAAAGGTCCCCCACCCCCTCATAAAACAGAAGCCGCCCTGCCCAGTTTGGCTCAATGGTTAGAGTGTCAGCTCACAGACCAGAGAGTCCCAGGTTCGGTTCCCACTAAGGGCATGTACCTCGGTTGCAGTCTGTCCCTGCCCCGGTTGGGGCTGTGTGGATGGCAACCACTCGATGTGTCTCTCTCACATCGCTATTTCTCTCTTTCTCCCTCCTGCTCTATCTGAAGATAAATGCAAAAATGTACTCAGATGAGGATAAAAAAAAAAAATAGAGACTGAAGCCAGAAGTCAGATATCTTGCCTAAGTCAGAGGGCTCATGAACAGTTGGGCAGGCCCTGTGGGTTGCGAGCACTTTGGGGGTCGAATGACCCTTTCACAGGGGTCACCTAAGACCATCGGAAAACACATATTTCTGATGGTCTTAGGAACAGAGATACTGCTCCGTCTCCAGGCGGGTCCGCCCACATACAGATAACGCCCACATACAACATGAGGAATTGTATTAAAGCGTCGCAGCATTAGAAAGGTTGAGAACCACTTTTCTAACTGGTGCCCTGCTACATTGCTGTTTCCTTGTGCCCTCTGATTTCTTGGGTGGAAAAAGAAACATCTAGGGCTCATAAAATGATGCTTCTTTATGGCCTAGAAGGCTATGGTGACTCAAAGCTGCTCACCAGGAAGTCCGAGGAAAAAGCCCAAGATAAAACCAATTCAAGCCCTGGCCGGTTTTGCTCAGGGGTTAGAGCGGTGGCCTACAGTCTGAAGAGACCCGGGTTCAGTTCCCGGGTCGCAGTTTGTCCCCGGCCCTGGTTGGGTCATGCGGGTGGCAGCCACTTGATGTGTCCCTTTCAAGTCAATGTTTCTCTCTCTCTCTCTCTCTCTCTCCTTCTCTCTCTCCCTCCCACTCTATCTGAACAAAAACTAGAAAAATGTCCTCGGGTGAGAATAAAAAACAAAACAAAAAAGAACAATTCAAAATGTCACGGGCCGTGCACATGAGCTTGGAGAAAAGTCTCTCAGCTTCTTGGCCACAGGACAATCTGTGGTCGTTTTCTCTGTCTGTAAAGCCGAAGGCTGCCTGAAGGCTACTGGGATGGGGCTTGGAACTTGACTGTGGGGAAGCCAGCAGTGCTCACACCCAGCACCGTGCCCAGGGGGCAGCCTTCTTCCCACAGTGGAAGGCAGGAACATGCTGGAGTGGGTTGAGTAAAACTTCCTGTCCCAATCCCTGGGGCCCTGGGAATCCGCAGCCCCCAGATGTCCCTGGGAGCCTAGCAGGGAAGAGGAAATGACTGAAGCTGAAGCTTGGCAATCAACTGGTTCCTACAAGGCTTCCACACTCTCAGTTGGGAGCCTGATGCCCACTGTGGGGAGACCTCATAGCACAAAGCCAAGAACACTGGGCCTGGCACAAGTTGAGGCCACTGTGCAGATGGACTCCAATGCCCCTTGGCATCCCCAGGTCCTCAGAGGAGGGGTTTCAACCAATGCTGGTTGATGAGAACACACAAACAAAACTGTGCTTCCTGACTGCTTGAAGCTGGCAGCTGAGTGTGGGACTGCACATAACACGCTTCTCCTTGTGCCTGATGGCAGGCAAGGCCCTGGTGGGAAGGGAATCGGGAGCCAGAGGGAGGACCCCAGCAAATGACACAGAGACACAGTCTCCACCCCCTGGCCTCATTTCCAGCCTAGGTGCGGAAGAGCCTGGTCTGGCAGCCTCTCAGCATGCGCAGAGCTGCTGGCCCAGTCTCCTGGGGGAAGGAAGGGGCGGTGCCACTGACGCCAAGACTTGCCTGCTTCATTCCTGGGAAATCTCTGGGCAAAGGGGAGACTTCTAGCAGAGAGAATTCCCCTACCAGCATCCCCACCCAAACACCCCAGGACTGTGAGGTATGATCCAACTGTTGTGGCAACCAATGACGACAGCCCAGGAGGGAGCCACTAAAGCTCAGGAGGGCTTTGATTGACAGAGACTCCCCACAGTGACCCATTCAGTCCCCTCCTTTGGCCTCCTTCCCTCCCACCCACTCATTCACCCAGCAGCCTGGCCTGCCAATCAGCAACTGCTGGGAGCGCCCTCCTCCTTTGCCTCCTGTAGGAGGAACACCAGGCCAGACACCTCTATAGCCAGACTTGGCAGCTGCTACCACATCTCTAACAACAGCTCATGGCAGTGCCCCACAGGGTTAGGCAAATCCCCCGCCAGGACCTGGATCCCCCAGACCCAAGAATAGGCATTTCCATCCCAAATATAGGGTCTCAGTGGAGACATAGGCCAAATAAGCACCACTTACTCAGGTCTGCTGGCTCGGCTACAGGTAAACTAGCAGCAGGCATTCCTGCTTTTAAGGGAGCCAGATTCCCTTGCCTTTAAACCTTGTGTGACACTCAGCACTTCAGGGGCCCTGAAGTTGGGGACAATGACCTTTGGCAGATAGGAGGAAAAGGCAGTCAGGATCTTAGAAGAAGCAGAACATGGGGTCTGCACCCCAAAGATAGCTGAGGAGAGCCCTGCGGTGTGGCTCAGTTGGCTGAGCATTGTCCTGTGCACCAGAAGGTCACTGGTCCGATTCCAGATCAGGGTATATACCTAGGTTGCAGGTTCGATCCCTAGTCAGGGCACGTATGGGAGGCAACCAATTGATGTTTCTCTCTCTCTACTTCTCTCTCTCATTTTTTTCCCCTTAAATCCTCACCTGAGGATATATATATTTTTTTATTTTCAGAAAGTGAAGAAGGTAGAGAGAAAGAGATGTGTCTCTCTCACATCAATTGGTTGTCTCCTGCACGCACCCTGACCCGGGATCAAACCTGCAACCCAGGTATGTGCCCTTGACTGGGAATCAAACCTGGGACCTTTTGGTCCACATGCTGATGCTCTACTCACTGAGCCATGCCAGCCAGAGCATCTACCTCTCTCTCTGAAATCAATAAAAACATTAAAAAAATCAATTAATTAAAAATAAAAGAAAGCTGAGGAGAGAATCTTCTAAAGCTGATCTGAGTACCACCAAGCTCTCCTAATACCATTGGCAAAGGAACCTGCCACACACCAGAATTCCCCAGGGCCAAGAACCCCTGGCTGGTCCTGGAACCAGGGACTCCCATGCTTTCAATGGGCAGCCAGTCGTCTGTACGTCCCTCCTCCACCCCGCATACAACTCTCTTCTGCTCATAGCAAAATCAGGTCCCCATCTTGAGGCTCACTCTGCTAGCTAAGCAATTGGTTGGTCAAAATTTGAGTACACATTCTTGAGAGCGAGTTCCCCCAGTCTCAGAACCACAAACAGATGTTGGAAAGGGAGAGAAATTAAAAGGCCATTCAAGCTAACCACATTTACCCACAAAAATGGGTCCCTCCAACTCCTTCCTTATCTCCTAGGAGTCCTGGGCTCAGAGCCGCCCTGGAAGAGGAGAGCAAGGATGTCGACTTCAGTGCTCTGGGGTCTGGTGCCTTCCCTACCCCTCCAGCAAGGCGGTTAGCACCTGCCCCGAGAGCACAGGCTACTGGTCTTCACATTCTCTTGAGCACTGGGCAAACCAGTTGCACTAGTCTTACCTTTCTTTACTAAATGTGTTTTGTGTTTTCAATCTGGCAGGCGGCTACTGGAGGCCTTCCAACCCTAGGCTCAGGCCAACCCTCATAATAAGAAAAATACTACTTTCTATCTGCCTCATTTAGGAGGTTTCTACTTTTTTTCCTTTGGTGGTTAACTAAATTTCATCTTATGTAACCACTGTAAATTTTCTTTAAAAATTCCCCAATTGGTGCCAGCAATTACAGAAAGTTTGTGTGTGTGTGTAGATGGGAAGTCTCCAAGGCACTGACCAGGAGGTCTAGTGATTCTTCCGAAGAAAATAGCATTTCTTTCTCTATCCACTGGGAAAGCCTCATCCTGCCCCCTTTCTGGAAAGATCCTGTGAGCTCTATACTTCACAGACTTTTTAAGTCTCCACACGCTTTTTTCTTTAATTAGAAGAGATAAAGTGAAGCTGGGAAGTTGGGATGATAAGAAATCATGGGTAAGATATGTTATGGCAAAACCAAAATAAATACCTAGAGGTCCAGCCTGGGGCTTTAGGCCTGTGGACCCTGAAAGGCTGTGCTTTATCTGAACAAGAACAGGACCTAGACCAGCCCTGGAGACTCCCACTCCATATACAAAACCCAGGTGGCTAAAGCCTTCTTACCCGGAAGGTCTAGGTGTCTTCAGAAAAGAGACAATAGGAGGAGTCAAGACACAAGGCCTCCTTTTCACACTGATGGTGCACACAGAGGGGCCAGACTGCTGTTTCTGAAGCACCTTCATCACCTTATGACAAACTCCACGATAGGACCCATGCAACATGCCCTCTCCTTGCCTCTGGTGGTAAAGGACTGGCTTTTGCAAAGGAGATCCTTGAGTTTAAGGCCTCTAGTTTACACACATGCAAACACACACACACACCCTCTGAGGAGGTGGTTTTCGATTGGAAGAGGAGGGAATAAGCGGGAACAGAATAAGAACAGCCACAGTGATGTCTCAGGCTGGTTAGCCAACCTCCTCGTCCTCTGAGGGAACCCTGACTCTGAGTGTGGCTTCTGCAGGTGACTTTGCTTAGACTATCAGGCTGCCAAGCCTGCTCTCCTATGAAGGTGAAAGTGAAAGGACAGGAGGACCCTCCCCCGTGGCTGCTGGCAGGGAGATGTCATGGGCAGCACCAAGCAGTTCTCCGGGTTACAGTCCGAGCCCCTTCCCTTCCCCATTCTCCAGATGGGGCCGGGGATACTCCGTTCTCAGGTGGTCCCAACAGCACTCTGTCCTCCACAGCTGCCTTTGCAAAGTTCTCCCTGATGACAGCAAGAGCCCAGTCCTCTCGGGTGAGCCCACTCTGAGGCTGCTTTGTGTTCTTATGACACAAGGCAGTGTCTACAGAGATCTCTCCCCAGCAACCCACGAGACAAAAAGCTGTCTTCATGAGGGCTCTGCGCAATGTGGAAAATAAGTGAACACAGTTTCTGAGAGCATGGTTGGGGAGCACACTCCTCTCCGTCCATGGTCCCAGGCAGAGACAAGGAACAGGACAAAGCGGAGCTGGAGCAGCCTCCAAGGGATACACTCTGACAAGTCTACCGGGAAGCCCAGAGCGCGTGACAACACATTCAGACACAGCAGCCGTCAGTCCCAGGGATAGGGAAGGGCTGTCTGCTGGGGAGGAGAGGGGCTTCCTGGACACCAGGAGAATATGAAGGGGAGAGAAATGCTGGGGATAGAGACAGGGCCACAACCTTTCCTGCAGTGGGTCCTCCAACCTGAGCAAAGGTTACCAGATTACGTGTAGCTGAGACAGTAGGTAACAGGCCCTCCCAAACACACCCAGAGTCCTTTGACTCAGCAAGTAAACAGGAGATGAGAATAGTAGGATGTGTTTTCAGGAGAAGTGAGTGAATCAGATTCATCAGGTTCATTTCACAGGAAAAATGTGGCCTCCCCAGGCCTCCCCAGGCTAACGTTGTGTGGGGAAAGGAGCAGACGGGGGTCTGAGGAAGCAGGAGCCCAAGGACTGGTCTGTAAAGAGTCTACCCAGGAAACTTTCACCATCACGATGGGGGCAAAGCAATCCAGGCTCACCTCCCGTCCAGTCCTCACACTCTGAGACGTCAAGACTCTTTTCCTAAGCACTGCTGTGACTTTAATCCTAGAAGGTGGGCCCAGTGCCGGGGTCAGGGCGCGCCCACTCACATCCAGTGCCTGTTCTCGTAGAAGACACAGTTCTCTGATGAACATGGCTCGAAGACCAGACTAAGCACATAAGAATAAAAAACCAGAGTACCGCCAGCAGCACAGGACGCACAACACTAAAGAACAGCCAGTCTACTCTGCAAAATGACGAAAAGAAACCCGGATGGTCTCACCTCTTTCAGGGCTGCTGTAACTTCCCGAATGCTGACCGTGTGCCAGGCTCTGTGCTGAAGGATTGTACATGTAATATCTTACTTTATCCTGACAAAAATCCTATGAACCAGGTATTGATATTCCCATTTTATGGACCAGAAAACCAAGGCTCTGCTAAGCTGAGCAACTTGTCTAGGATGATAGTAAGTGGCAGAGGCGGCTTTGAACTCAGATCAGCAAGGCTCCAAATCTTTACCAGGCAGATGTAGACACCCATTTTGTCCATAGAGGTGCCATATTAGGGAGATTTGGGTTTCATGGAGTCCTTGGCTCAGTTTCCTACATGTGTATTCCCTGCTCAGCTCTGAGGCAGCCTCTATGGTGGGAAGCAGCATGGCCTTGTTGGAGCGACCAAGTGGCAGCTCAGTGATTTTATTTTCTAAAGGTGTCCACATGTTGCACTTATTCTGCTGTGAAGAGTCAGGCCTTAAGCACTCCATGCAAACCACTGGCACAAACTCCCATCCCCCAAGGAGAGGTGGCACACCCCCTGGGCCCTCTGCTGTCAGGTGTGAGAATGGGCAGAAGCTGTATCACTCAACCAGAGGTCCAAGGAACCAAGGGGTCGGGAGCAAGGACAGAGGGACTGAGTGACCCTAGAGACTTCCTGGCAGCATGGACCTAATCCCTGGGCCTTCCTTGCTTGTCCCATTGCTCTTCCTCTCCGACTGGTACAGCAAGACTTCCCGCTTTCCCATCACCACTCAGGAATGTCTGCCAGGAGGCGGGTGGAAGTGCTGCCCAGAGCCGTGTAAGGCTGGGAAGACCCTCACTCAGAGGCTCCTGGCCAAGCCCTTACCATTGTAGGAGAGGCGAGGTTTGCTCAGACACATTATAAAGTGCATTTCCATCTCATCGGAAGCCACAGACTTGGAGCAAATGGGGCACTTGAAACCTGAAAAAGAGGAAAACAGGATGAAATGTTTTCTCCAAACCAAGTATATTCATTATAAATGTGGATACTCTTAAATGACTATGGCCATGTAGGGCCAGAGTCGACATGGAGAATTGAAATCTAGATATATCCTAGACTAGATTGCTCCTTCATTCAATCATCCAAACTTTCGTTATTTTATTACAGCCCCCAACTCCCATTTTTTCACTAGTACTATCCCAGTCATAGGCCCCTCACTGAAGTTTATCAGAAGTCATGACAGCTAATTTTATTTTTCTTTTCTTTCAGACCCTTTCCCAAGGGGGTCCAGGGGCAGTGGGAACAGGTAGGCATCAAATCAGGGCAACTAAATAATCCATCTTCCACTTCACAGCCCTCAAACCACTTGGTTTGGTACCCCGTGGGAGGAATTCCTATTGTCACCAGCACCTCCATCCCTTACTCAGAGCACCTTTGCCTCCCTGTGGCTATGGCAGCGGTCCGCTGAGTGTGCACACAGTGGGGTGGCCCACCAGAGCGCTCCCAAATGCCACGTGATAAACTTCAGTGAGGGGCCTATGACTGGGAGAATACTAGTGAAAATGCCAAATGCCACGTGTGCCTTGGCTACATGCCACCGGGAGCAACAACCGTTTCAGGAGAACACGGGCTCTATTCCCACACGTGGAGTGCTTACACCCAAGGGGTTTCATCAGGATTGTATCAGTGTTGGAGATTTCTCAGTTGAGAATCTTCTGAGCTAAATGCCACTAAACAAACATAGTCTCTTGATGTTTTTATTTATTTATTTATTTCCCTCACCTGAGGGCACTTTTTGCATTCATTTTCAGATAGAGCGAGAGGGAGAGAGGGAGGAAGAGAGAGAGAGACATCGATGTGAGAGAGACACATTGACTAGCTGCCATCCACACGACCCCAACTGGGGCTGGAGACAAACTGCAACTGAGGTACGGCCCTTAGCGGGAACTGAGCCAGGGACTCTCTGGACCGTGGCCGATGCTCTAACCACTGAGCAAAACCGGTCAGGGCCCTTGATGTTTTTATAAATGACTTTTTTAGATAAACACAGATAAACTATTTCCAATTTCCCCCATTTTACTTTTACTGAAATTATTTTCAAATGGATTCTTTTCCATTCTACCAAAAGGATACAATACTGTTAAAAAGTTGTTATTGTGAAGATTTGTCTCTTCTGTTAATTTTTAGTCAAAATGTTCTGTGCATAGTTTTATTGGATGCTGGTAATATCTATCAGAGACATTTTTTATGAAACAGGTAAAAGGCTGAGGGTTGGTATTGACTGTTAGCTGCTGCAAGACAGAGGAGAATCCCACACCCCACCAGTGTCTTTTCCCTTCGTGCAGCCTCACTCATGCACCCTTGCATCTGCCCTGCAAACAAACCTAGACTTATATCAAAGAGCATTCCACAGAATGGCCAGTCATTAGAAGACTGTCTCATTTTCTTCAGAGGTTGGTTCACCTTCTTTTCTGACTCAAAATACCATAGTTTTGCAACAATTTAAGTAACTACAGGATACTTCCACTTTAAACTTGTGAAGTCAGCAGTCTGTCTGCAGGCTGAGAGCCCAGGGCTGTGGGCGGCCCCCAACGGATGTGATATGTGATGAGCTCTGGACCAGGCCCTAAGCAGTCCCTGGGAGGTGTCAAAGTTATTTGTTACTAATAAAAAGCTTTACACTCCACACATTCTTCACTTTCCTGATAACTTAGAACAGATTCATGGTAATCGTTATAACAGTAACAGCCAAACCCTGCACCCCAACATGATTCCTTGAATGCAGAGGAGGGAGGCGAGTGACAGCTAAGGTGCTGGGAAGTAAGCCACCTAACAAGGTCTACAAGGGAGTGTCACTGAACATTTATGTCCTAGGAAGAAACCAGTTGAGACTCAAAGGTTTAGACCAGTCCCTCATGGTACAGATGAAGAGAGCTTAGTGAGGCCATCAGGTCAAACTGAGGGAATGGGGCTGAGATTAGAAGCAGATTTCTCCGCCCCAATCTGAAGTCCTTTCCATCAGAGGAAAGTTGCTCACAGGTATGATATGTGATTCATAATAAGAAATATATATTTGCTCTTTGTCCTGTTTCTGGCACAGAGCTCCTAAAACCCTTGGCATTTCCTAACACGCTAAGACCAATAATACTTGGTCTTCTGTCAGTTCCTGAAATATCTCCAGAGCCATAAGGTGAAAGGAGTGTCTTATTGTCTTATTAGTCAAAACAAGTTCTTTTCAACCACACCAGAGTTTATGTGAATGAGGCAACTTTTGGAAAATCCCTTGGTAAAGTAAGGCTAGGTGCTGGCTGCCAGGGAAATCCACAGCTGATAAGAGGGTTGGGTCCCACCCCCCAATCTCTAGAAAGGGGAGAGGGACTGGAGATTGAGTTTAGCTGCCAATGGCCAGTGATTTAATCGATCATGCCCATGTAATGAAGGCTCCATAAGAATCCAAAAGGACTGAGTTCGGGGTGCCCCTGAAAAGGGCATGTAAGTCAGGGCCCTTTCTCTATACCCTGTCCTATGCATCTCTTCCACCTGGCTATTCCTGAGTTATATCCTTTTATAATAACTGCTAGTTTGGTAATGTTTCTCTGAGTACTGTAAGCTGCTCTAACAAATTAAATGAAAGTGACGAGGGGATTGTGGGAACCTCTGCTTAATAGCCAGTCGGTCAGAAGCACAGGTGAAACATGGACTTGTGCTTGGTGTCTGCAGTGGGGGAGGCAGTCTTGTGGGACTGAGCCCTTAACCTGTGGGATCTGATGCTATCTCCAGGTAGGTAGTTTCAGAATCGAGATAATTGCTAGGTGGTGCTGGGAAAACATACCTCAGAACAGGGTTTTGAGAAAGAGGTGGATTGGGCAGAAGTGCCACTGTAGTAGGAAGAGACCTACATTCCAGCAAAAGCAGGGTTAGTGCCACCTGGATCACAAACCTCTGGATTGGGGGGTGGGGGAGAAAGGGGATAAGGCTCAAGACAGAACTCAAAGTCTATAACATAAATGGGAAATGCCAAGGTGACCTGGGTTTTCTGGCCTGAAGACCACGGCAATACTCTACTCTCCTTGGACCTCAGTTTCCTAGTCTGAAAAAGTCATTTACCTTATTCTTACTAAAAGCAAATGAGGTAAGAGACCTGAAAGCATGCTAAAAAGCAGCTAATCAAATGTGGGTGATACCCCCGTCATCACACATGGCAGCACTTGACAAGGAGGAAGGAACAGGAGGGTTGGAGGAAGGATCTGGGGGCTGAGAGATGGGGTGATGGAGCACAGGATACACACTTGCCAGTCCTATCTCTGTTTCCCTTGAACTTACAGAGCACCTTGTGTGGCACTCAACGTGGAACCACGGTCCCTATTTAACCTCTACAGCACCCATGCTTGCACATGATAATAACAGGTCACGTTTACTGAGTCATTACTATGGGCAGTCACTGGGCTTTACATGTCTTTTTGTTGACACAGTATGAGGTGGATACTAATGTTAACTATTTTACAGAGGAGGACATCAAGATTAGTCACTTGCCCACGGTAGCCAGCCAGATAGCCAGAGCTGGCATACAACACCCAGGAAGTCTGTGCCCGGTGTGCACCTTGGTTGCCGAGCTGTGACTAGTAGAGAAGTCACATAGCAGAAACCGCCTAAATGCTACAGACACAAGTGTTACTAAATACTAATTTCAAATCTCCCACATTGTCCCAATTTCTCCTGAGGTACCTACAGTCCTGGATAATTCTGTAAACTGAAACAATGAATAATTTTTTTCCTAGGGAATTCTGTTAATATGGAAGGACAAAGTTCTGCTTTCCACTTGGCACATGGGCCTACAGCCTTGGTTGTAAGCTGCCGAGTTTGCAAATTACCTTTTACATGAAAATTAAAAGGCAAAAGGTAAGAGAAATGGAAAAATACGGAGAGCTAACAGGAAAAATCTAATGTCTTTCCCACCTTCTTTCCTGAAAGGTCATCCGGTGATCAAGATGGATTCTACCACTCTACTGCCCCAATCTTTTCTTGTAATTGTCCTGACAAGATTCAGCACCAACAGCTCTACAGAATGATAAATACTGTGACCTTTATGAGCTATCTTAAGGTTAAGATATCTAGGAAATTTGATACCATTTTGGAAAAAGTCCATATCAAATTAAAATCAGCATGGCAAACAAAGATAAACCAAAGGTCTGTAAAATCATCTAACCAACATGATTTTGTTCAATTTCATGAGACCTTCAGCAGCACTCCGGAAGTGTGTGTAAGAGATGCCTGAATTTTCCTCATGAGAAAGCAACAGATAGTCTCCAGGAGATCCCTAACTGCATCTGAGCCTAGAAACCTGCCCGCGCCCGAGAAGCCGGGTGAACATACAGTAAGTACACCCAGTTGCCTTCTTCTCTTCCATCTAATTGACTTTCAGTGTTCTGCACATGTTGTGTCTTTACTATTTGCCGCTGACAAATTGAAGGGAGTGAACTAAGAGACCAGCTCAAGGTTATACAGTCAGAAGAGCCGAGGACAGTTTGATCAGCCACAAGAACCCAGCTGCTTCCTGTCTTTCAAAAGCATCCTGCCTAAGTGGGGAATCCTCAGCGGGACCAGAGATCAGGCAACAGAGCTCCCGAGATGACTTGACAAGGAGAAAGGAACAGGAGGGCTGGAGTAAGGATCTGGGGGCTGAGAGATCCTGCATTTGGCACCCCGTACAGGGTCTTGACCCCTTTTTACTGCCAGGTCAAAGGGTAAGCCCGCTGGTAGGGTAGGTAAACCAACAGTGACTCCAGGAAACCACACATGGTCATGTGCATCAAGCATCTTCCTGGGTCGAATTAACTGGGCCCCTTGGACTTTACCCAGGCCTTTCTATTTGACAGGGCAAATGAGGAAGGACAGGGGCGACTGGCTCGAGTTACAACAAACAACTCTCCCAATCCTCTTCAACATTTATCTTGCAATATAAATTAAAGTTTTTGTGCTCT